TGTAACGTCTTTTGGATGTATACTCGTTTCAGAATCACTTTGATTACCTAGGTGAAGAAAATTTTTAATAATTACAAATAATCAAAATATTGAATTTAAAGTATTTATTTGACAAACGAAAATAATGAGTTGTAAAATTAGGTGTCATTAATATTTTTATTACCTTCACGACGCCTATCCGCGTTTACATTTTCGGTTGTATTAAGTATTAACTGTGCAGTTTCCTGATTCGAACTAGTGGATGGTTGTATCGCATTTTCATCGGGTTGACTTGCATTACCAGTTGCTTCATTATTTGAACTAGTAGACGGATGTATCGAATTTTCATCATCTTGAATTACTAGTTATTTCATTTTTATCGTTCAAAAGTTTAATCATTCAATAATTTTCGGTCTGTAGTATAAAAATATGCTAATATAAGATTCTTACCTGATTTTTCTAAAAGGTTTTTAAGTATATTTTCATCGGTTTGACTTAAATTACCAGTTGCTTCCTTATTTGAACTAGTAGATGGTTGTATCGCATTTTCTTCGTCTTGAATCACTAGTTCTATTTTTATTATCCAAAATTTAATCAATCAATAATTTTCGGTCTCTGGTATAAAAATACGCTAATTTACGACGCTTACCTGATTTTTCTGAAAGGTTTTTAAGTATTTTTACAATTTCTTCTAATTTCGGACGCTTGTTTGGACAATAATCCCAACACCTCTTATAAAGTTGAATATATGAGTCAGGGGTACCTTCAATAGGTTCTTCTCTTTCTCCTTTGAGTATATGAAGGCAAAGGGCCATGTGGACCATGTGGGCCATGGGAGTAAATGATTGGAATGGTGGTCGGCCGCTTGAAATTTCCCAAAGAATTATCCCAAAGCTATAGATGTCAGATTCTTTTTTAAGCTTATAATTTACGTTTCCGAAATATTGAGGATCAATATACGCTGGCATCCCATAAACTCTAGAATTTAAGCTTATTGATGTCTCATCTTTTGATAGGCCAAAGTCTGCAATCAATATTTTTTCTTCGTGAACTAGAATGTTTTTAGAGTGCTAAAATGAAAAGAAAAGATTTATTAATCAGTAAAATATAGATGTTGTCTTGTTAATAATCAAACAGATTAACACTTACGAGATCTCGGTGAATAATATTATTTTGATGTAAAAATTTAAGGCCATTTGAAATTTCGTAGGCTATTCGCAATTTATCAGTCCATTCTAGTTTCGAAAAATTTTTTCTTAAATATTCACGTAAATTTCCATTATTTGCATATTGTAAAACCATATAATATTCATCTATTTCATCCGTCGGTACTACGAATATATACCAAAAAATTATTGATTTCGAAAAGAAATACAGATTATGATTTACTTTTTTTATTTACTAACCTCGAGTGACACCATAAAATTCAATAATATTTGGATTCTTGCAAACTTTTTGCAAGTGCTTAAGCTAAAAAAATAGTATTTAATGATATATATTGATCAGATCATATAATATCTTTGCACTATCAATATTACAGTATAATAAATTATATAATCATTTACCTCTTTAACAAATTTTTGAATGGTTTTTTCTTCATTCAAAGGTTTGTCTAGCTTTTTAAGAGCAACGGTCAATCCGCAGTCATGCCATTCTGATCGATACACAACTCCGAATGCCCCTTTATCTATTTTTTCAAGAGTGGAGAATTTATTATAGTCGCAATATTTAATGTCCCTTTCACTAATCGCATTTTCGAGCTGTTCCATATTTTAGTACGTAAATAAGTTTTGGTGTTTAACAAATATGAAAAGGCTGGATAAAGTCTAAGGAAAAAAGTGAAACTGAAGGATGATAATAAGAATAGCAATTTTAATAGCGATAAACTGCGACTTAATGCATAAAGTGCCAAGCGGCTTTGTATGCATACCGATACGTAGATTAAAAATGTTAATGCATAACGTACGTACGTACGTAAGTACTTTACAAAAATCTGTCAAAATTGAACTTGCAATTTAACGGTGCTGATACGTAATATACTATTAAAATACCAAATTTTGTAAATATAAGCACTTTATTAGCATTTTATTACTATAATTTAATTTGATAAATATATTTGCCAATTATTATGCTAATAAAAGCACTTTATTAGCATTTTATTACTATAATTTAATTTGATAAATATATTTGCCAATTATTATGCGAATAAAATGCTAATATTAGCAATATATTATCAATATTTTAGTAATATATTAGGTATTTAAAGGTGCTGATACGTAATGAAATAATCTTGTAATAAATTATTAAAATAGCTAACTTAGTACTAATAATGCATATCTCGAAATTGCCAGATTTTTGTAAAGTAGTCAATTATGTTAAATTTATATCAATCCTTTAACATTAATATTCTCTAAAAATTTATTTAGCGCTATATTAACAACATTATAATCAAAAAAGAATTATTTGAAATTGCTCGAAATGTAACCGATATGTAACCAAAAAATTTATTACAATTCTATGGAAAAAATTGTATAAAAAACTCATTTATTAAATGCCATACATTCCGCGGGCAAATTCAAGTACTAGATGATTTTTCATCTAAAAAAAAATTGGTTTACATAGGAACTATCTCCCGAGTATTTTACATTCCACCGTATAATTTTTTGAGCGGGGTACTTTGATATAGGAGGGCACTATGGTCTGCGCTGTACGATATATTTAGCTATAGCAACAATAAATTTTTAATCATGAACGTCATCGTAATCTGATCTTGTATCTTGCTCACTCAAATCAGATTGATATTCGTCTTGTTAACTTTCCTACAAAATGCTATTAATTATCTAAATTTATTTCGTTTTTATATTATCAACCTGCCTAGTATCGCTGGTATGTACGTTAGCGCTGCTTAAAATTCTAGCATAAGACTTACCAAATCATACGATTATCGAAAAAAAAATAATCGATTTTTTTTTTTTAATTATTTAAATTATTTGTTCGAGAACTTAATTATTGCATCAAATCTTATTTTTTAATCCGCGTAAAACTTCGAAATCTTTAATGTTATCGTACGGTCTTATGTAACAGCCCGTGCTTTTTTCGAAAGCTTATTCTCATATATGCAAGTGCGAATAAGTTATTTTCATAAAAAGCTAAAACCAACTTCGTCTTTTACTAAAAACTACGTAACTATAAATTATTATTTATTAGATGAAGATTAATATTATGTTGGTTTTTAAAATTCTCATTTCTGGACGAAAACTAATACATGTATTAGGTCGTGGTTTTTTAAAATTCACAATTTTTGGAAAAGACTAATGATATTTGTATTAAATTATGTAGTTTTTTAAAATTCTCATTTGCTGTGAAGACTAATATTAGGTCTGGTGGTTTTTTAAAGTTCTCATTTACTGACAAAGACTAATATATATATTAAATCGGGCGGTTTTTTAAAATTCCCAATTGTTATGCGAAGACTAAATTTATTATTTGCTTACCAAGATTAAATTAGGTTTGGTGGTGTTTTAAATTCTCATTTTCCGGACGAAAACTAATATTAGGTCGAACACTTTTAAAAATACTTATTTACTGGCAAAACTAATATTATATTCGGTGGTTTTTTAAATTTTCATTCGTTGGATGAAGACTAATATTAAGTTGGGTGGTTTTTTATAATTCTTATTGGCAAGTCAAAGATTATATTAGGTCGTGTAGTTTTTTAAAACTTTCATTTGTTGGGCGAGGACTAATATTTATTTGAATGTGAAATTATTATTTTTTTCGTAATTTTTTAAAAAATACTATTGATTTCTAAATAGCAAATTCATTTACAACGCCTTTCGCCCTTTATTTAGGACTTCGAAGTGTTTTAGTATTTATAATAAACAAGTGATTTCTTAACTATTGAGCTTCCGGATCGTTAACTGTAAGGCTGTTGTTTGATACTTTGGAACGAAAAACTAAGCTCAAATGTGTCAAGCTTCACGAATAAGAAGAAAGAAAAAGTAATTATAAACAGAAGATAGTTTAATTAAATAGTTTGTTTAAAAGAAGTGACGCACAGGTTGTTAGACCCGTACGATAACAATAATATATCACTTAAATAACAAATAAACAAAAAAAACAAACTTTTTATGCCTCATAAAAAGTTTTCTAATTCGAATTTACTGTTTTCAGAACATGGTTCTTCATACTTAAATCTAGCTAATTTTGTTGTACCTAAATCAATGCTAAGTTTAGAAAATTTTAAATAATATGAGCGATAATAAACTTATAGAAAACCAATGCACCCATCTTCTTAAGTGAATTAGCTTC